TGCAGTATGTTACAACTGAAGGCATTCAATTTCCACTGATCAATGTCTCATATGACCCTAACACCCCTGCCAGAGCCATAATATCTTCAACCATTGCTCTTGTAGAGAGTGCATTTTGTCAATGGTTCTGTAAAAACAAACAAGCAGACAGCTGTCACATGACTCACATCTCGTCAGGCAAGGACATGTTGCATTGTTGTAAGACGGGAAAAATATTGAATTTAAGGAGTGTAGGGTATAGTTCTGAGACATAGTAGAATGCTTTTTGTCTTTTTTTAGTTAATGAATGCTAATACTTGGAAGTTATGAATGTCTACAGTAGATGTATTTGATTTCTATATACATCTGACGGATGTGCAAAAACCGCGGATACCGTGAGAAAGTTATCCGCGGATGTGGTATCCGTGGGAATTTGTCAACCGCGGTACGACACCGCGGAACACATGGGGCATTTCACAATTTCTTACCTTAAGAAATAACTTACATAATGATAAACATTATTTGTAATTTAGTTTACCATTTTTGGTTGGCAGAAACTCTGAACAGAATTAAAAATTTTCATTATACAAAAACTAGAAATTAATTTTAACATTTCCCTATTTGTAAAATCTTTAAATAAATGGAGATAATAATTTAAAACATAATTTAAAGTTTTTCCTATAGCAAAATTATAAATTTTCTTTCAGATTTAGTGACAAGAAAAATTTGAAATTTCTTTTATAATATTAAATTGAATGAAATATTAAAATAAATTTAAAATTTTACTTGAGAGAGAAATGCCATAAAGAATTTAAAATTATTTTAGAGTGGGCAGTCAGTGGGCAATCAGTGGGCAATCAATGGGCAATCAATGGGCAAGCAATGGGTGATCAGTGGGCGATCAACGGGCAATCAACGGGCAACTACCAAATGAAGTAAAAATGTCTTCATTTGGTAGTCGCCCGTTGATCGCCCGTTGATCGCCCACTGATTGCCCACTGATTGCCCATAGCTTGCCCATTACTTGCCCATTGATTGCCCACTGATTGCCCACTGACTGCCCACTCTAAAATAATTTAAAATTTTTTTTGGCATTTCTTCTCTAGGTAAAATTTTAAATTTCTTTTAATATTTTATAA